TTCATGGGAGGAAAAGAAGAACGCAAGGTGTTTTAAATTCTGATTCAATTTGATTTAGCTGTCAGCATTTGGTTACTCTATGTCAAATAAAATGTTTGTGACCCAATTTATATGTTGCAAGTTTGTCAATCTCTCCCTGTTGCAAAGGAGAAAGATAATTTAATCCACTGATTCACGTTTCAACAATAACTGTTTTTGTGTTTGGCCTTTTCTTATGAGTGCAGCAAATATGGAATGACATTGGTGAGAGCGAAGCAGACCAAGACCGCATGCTGTTGGAGTTGGAGAGGGAATGCTTAGATGTTTACAGGAGGAAGGTTGATGAAGCTGCCAATGCCAAGGCACGCCTTCATCAGTCTGTTGCAGCCAAAGAAGCTGAGCTTGCAACTCTAATGGCTACTTTGGGGGAACTCAATATTGATTCACCGGTAAGGAATCCATTGGAACTTTGTTAAATGATGATTTATTGACCATTGTTCTGATTCCTCCTTGAATTGTGCTCTACCAATTTAAACCTGCATGGCTTCCGTTTAGTAGTGATTCTATATATCAGTCCAGAATTATATGTTTTTAATTCCTAGGTCATCAGACGTAGGCAAGAATGATAACAAGTCATGAATTGGCATGAAATTGGCAGGAAATATCACGTCCTGTTTGGTGCCCAAATAATCATATTCCATCTCTAGTTACTGTTTCAAAATTGGTAGTGATGTAGAATTGATTCCCATCACTTAATGTCATGTATAGACTTTATCTGGTTGATCACACATTTGTTTCTTCCAATTTTTCTGTTTCCATGATGTGTTTCCCAGGCTTTTAGAAGCTTCCATTCTTTGTCTCATACAATTATGTAGATGTGCACATACACATACGTGTTTTCATGTTGGATGTACATACTGCTAGGTTTTCTTACATAAACAAAGTACAAACCAATTTTTTTTAAAGTTGGTCATCCGATTCTTCTTAAATTTTACAGATACAGAGGGAGAAGCGATCAAATTCATTGAAAGAGAAACTTGCATCTGTGGCACCACTTGTGGAAGATCTAAGAGTGAAGAAAGAGGAAAGAATGAAGCAATTTTCAGATATAAAGGCGCAAATTGAGAAGATCAGTGGGGAGATATCCGGATACAACCATCTCAACAATGCTCCAGTCAGTTCGTTAACCCTGGATGAACAAGACCTATCAGTGAGAAAGCTAACTGAATATCAAGCACATCTTCACACTCTTCAAAAAGAGAAGGTAATTATATTATGATATGAATTCGCTCTCCAAGTTACATGTGGCTGCTTGATATATAATGAGTTGTGACACCCTGGTTCAATGGTTACCGTGTAATTGCAGTTATAAGTCTGTGCAAATGAAATTTAGCCAGATTGCTAAAGTTGGGGAATATTGATAAAATTATTAGTCTGAAGTGTCAATAAGAATAGTGACCTCATTCGCAGACATTTCCAGGAGGTTACAGCTCCATTGTTATTAGCTAAGAATCATATTTGGCTTTGAACATAATTGAAGCTGAAGTGACTGTTACTTTCTGATAATACATTGTGGGTTAATTCTGATAAGTTATAACCAAAATTTGTTAGATAAAAAGAAAGTTGTCATAGATAAGAAATTGTTTGCATTACTAGATGCCTTGCACTGATGTGGATCACATTAGTTTCTTATACATTCTGATAAGTTGAGTATACTTCTGTTTTGGCAGTCTGACCGCCTACATAAGGTTTTGGAATGTGTAAATGAGGTTCATTCTCTTTGCGGTGTGCTTGGCTTGGATTTTGGCCAGACTGTAAGTGAAGTGGATCCTAGCTTGCACAGGACAAGCATAGAACAGTCCACAAACATCAGCAATAGCACATTTGAAGGCCTAGAACAGACCATTCAGAAGTTGAAAACAGAAAGGAAAGCTCGAATCCAGAAGGTAAATTGCTGATCCTACTGTAAAAGTCTTTTGATTCTGACTTTGGAATCATAAGTATAACCCTTTTCCAAAATGCAGCTAAAAGATATTGTAGCGTCACTCCTTGAACTTTGGAATTTGATGGACTCATCAAGAGAAGAAAGGAGTAAATTTTCAAGAATTACTTTAATTCTTGGAAATTCAGAACCAGAAATTCAAGAACCAGGCTTTCTTTCAACAGATATTATTGAACAGGTTGGATAGCAATCTCTTTATCTTTTCATTTTAATTCTTTGAAAGTTGAGAGTAAACTTTCTTCTCTTCTCTTTGACAGGCATCGGCAGAAGTGGAGAGACTCACTGAATTGAAAGCAAGCAGAATGAAAGAACTTGTTATGAAAAGGAGGTCAGAATTGGAGGAAATGTGCAGAATGGCTCATATTGAACCTGATACAAGTACATCTGCTGAGAAATCAAATGCATTGATAGATTCTGGTATGAATCTTCACGCAGTCTTAAAGCCAGTTATTTAGATGCTTATATGTTAAAATATATTGGCAAGGAAAATATATGAATTTGTATAAAAAAATCTTGTTTTTGTTCAGGTCTAGTAGATCCATCTGAACTTCTGGCAAACATAGAAGCACAGATAGTCAAAGCTAAAGAAGAGGCTCTGAGCCGGAAAGAAATAATGGATAGGATAGATCGGTGGCTATTTGCATGTGAAGAGGAAAATTGGCTTGAAGACTACAATCAAGTAAGCTTTGAGAAGTTCTGGTAGTTTTCAACATTTCATGATACGAGAAGGGAATCATACTTAGGAATTTATGATTTATTCTCTCTCTGGCTGTTTTTCTTTTTCTACTTCACTTCATCTTGTTTAACATACCTCTGAAGTTAACTTCGATTCTTGTACAATGTACATAAACAAGAATCCATCTTTCAGATGCCATGGTTGATTACTAGGGCTTCTAGTTTGTACACTTTTTTGAAAATTTCTTATTGAATTCCAGGATGAGAACCGGTACAGTGCAGGGAGAGGTGCTCACATTAACCTTAAACGAGCAGAACGAGCTAGAGTGACTGTAAACAAAATTCCAGGTATTGTTTTCTCTAGAAATCACTCCTTTGTCTGAGGATTCAGCACTGGTAGAGCTAACGAGTTCTCTTTCCAGCAATTGTTGACAATTTGATAAACAAAACGCTGGCCTGGGAAGATGAGAAAAAGATGTCATTCCTTTATGATGGGGTGAGTTACTTTGCAACAAAAGTTCTTGGATGTATTTTTCTGTGATGTCCGCTGTCTTGACCTTTAATAGCAATATTTGCAGGCACGACTGGTGTCAATACTGGAGGATTACAAAGTGAGCAGGCAGCAAAAGGAAGAGGAGAAGAAGAGATCTAGGGTAATTTAACTAAACTGTTGTCAACAATGGTATGACATTAAAGTAGACAACAATTACTGGGAGCCCATATTGGCCGGGAGCTAGAACCACAGAAACGGGCGTAGTTTCTTTTGTTTAACTTATGGCCTAACTATGTTTTGAAATGATCTTATGGATGATTTCTTTAACGTTCTTTTCATTTATAGGACCAAAAGAAGCTCCAAGATCTGCTCCTCACAGAGAAAGAAGCCATGTATGGGTCTAGACCTAGTCCTAGAAAAAGTACCAGCTTTAGGAAGCCAAATGGATATCGCTCAAATGGGAATGGATCCATGACTCCTACACCTCGTCGGAATTCAGTTGGCAGTGGAACTCCTGAGCTCTTAACACCCCGATCTTACTCTGGGCGGCAAAATGGATATTTCAAGGAAATGAGAAGATTGTCTACTACACCACTGAACTTTGTGGCCGTATCAAAAGAAGATACAATGTCATATGCGTCTGTTTGTGGTTCTGTGCTGGGATCGCCCCCTCATGATTGATCTTAATTATTGGAAATGGTAATGTTTTGTTTTCAACTTTCCCCATTGTTTATGCTGTTGATATTTTATGCCATCACTCTAGTGAATGTGCTAATAGAAATTCTTGCAATTGCACTCTACATATGCAATCTCAAAAGTTACGTGTTCGCAACAAATATTTTGCTCCCTCTGCAGTCTCCACATTTGCATGAATCTTGTTCTCGAGTTTATCTGATTAGACCTGGAATTTGGTGGTATTCCTGCAGGAACAGGAAGCTGTTACAAGCTAGACGAACTTACACTCACATAAAGCAGCAGAAACCTTGTGAATATGGAGGGGGTTACTAGTTTATGATTGTAATTTGTTAGGATTACATGGAAAGAGAGGTGACGACTCTGCTAGGTAATAGGTCTTGGAATTACTCGTTAACTTTAGGACTTGCAAATCAATATAGAGGAACTAAATATGGAGTGTTATAGTAGTGTTGTTGACCATGTCCTTTGTGGATTTTTCTTGTGTTTCACGGTTTCACGTGTATATATGGAGCTCCGCTTTGGTGGCTACCATTACCATTTCATGTGGGTGAATCTGGTATTTTTGGAAGATATGGATGTTTGCAGAATCTTAGTAGTGATGCTGCTCCTGGAAAAGAAATAGTGAAGAAATCTGTAATCTGTGCAATTTGTTCAATTTGTCTCGCTACTAACCCAAAGCAAAGCAAACCCTTGGAATCTGTATGCAGTGAACATGCTTTTCTGTTTGTTCTTGTTCAACTTTTCGATTGGCCATTATACCAAATCCTTAATTAAACATACGAAACCAAAGCCGCCCATGAAGAATGAGCAAATATCTGCCAAGCGAGCGTTTTCATAAGTAACCGTCTCACAAGGTAGGGTAGGATATAGGATCACGTACAACCTTCGAACCATGTCCTTTAGTGCTTCCCAGCTTACTAGGTTTGAGTTAGGAAATTGTTAACTTGTTTATGAAATAAATAAAATTATTATCTTTTTATGAATATAATTCAACCAAATCAAACACCATCCAGCAACTCACAAGTTGTATTAAAAGACAAAAGAAAAAAAAAAAAGAGTGGAGAGATTCATTTCTGAGAATTACTTGCCTACTGTAGCACACTGAAAACTGAAACGAAATAATCGCAGTAAAAATAAAAGGGTTCGCAACAATGTAATAGGGCAAATAACACGAATATCGCATATGGCAGAAAGTTGTGGACTTGCTTAGGGGCCAATCTAGTAGTAGCAGACAGCAGAGAGTAGAGAGTGCGTGTAGAAGAAGAGAGACTTTCTCGAGGGGAGCGAGTGAGTGAGAACGGCCAGTGGGCTGTCAGAGTCTTCTTTTGGGACTCCGAGAGAACAAAAACGGAAAATAGAAAAGATAGAGAAATAAAAGAAATAAAAGTGCGGAATGGATGTGGTGACATTCGGTATTATAATCGGCATAATCTTGCTTTTCTTTGCTGCTGTTTGTTTTATCACCATCGAAGGAACCTGCAAACGCCGTCCTACTTAGTCTCCACTCTCCGCCCAAACAGCTCCTTAAACCCCACAGTCTTTAACGGCAACCTTAAATTTTGATAGGTACAATAAAACCGACCTTAACCGACAACTGGGTTTTCTCAGAAAATGGCGTTTTGTACGAAAGGTATGGTCTTGGTTGTTGCTTTGGTTCTTGGGCTCTGTTTGGATCTGAGTTTTGCTTCTGGGTCTTGTGCATCCGCGGCTTACGAGTCTCCTGCTCACCACCACCACTGCGATCATGGGCATGACCATGACCATGACCACGACCACGACCGCCACCACGACCACGACCACGACCGCCACCACCACCACGACCACCACCACGACCACGACCACCACGGGGAGAGCTTGTTGGGGTCAAAGCTTCCTGAGGAATTGGCCGAGGAGGAGGATATGAAATTGTACGGATTTGGATTTGATCAACATGGCCAGGATCATGGTCATGATCACGAGCATTTTGGTGCTTTGCAGCTCTCAGTTACCGGTATTTCTTTTCATTTTTAATTATGTTAGATGGACTTATATTTATTGTGAATTTTTATTTTGTTTTTATTTTCTGGGTCTTGTTCAGAAACTTGTATAATGTGTGGAAGCACTTGATTGTTTTTGCATTACACTACTGCTTGGTTGCTAAGAAAGTGCATGAAACAAATTGAAATTTTGAAGAAGCCAATTGGTGAGTACAGCAAATTTTCGGTTACATGCACATTGGAGGATAGAGGATGAGATGGTGACAAATTTCCCAAGGGAGTAAGAGTCCATTATTAACATGGAACAAAATGTAACCAGCATAGAGCACAGAGAGAGCTCTTGATTTTTTCTATGTACCACATTGTGTACCACCTCTCTAATAGAAGTAGGTTCCATTGGATAGGTGAACTCTACCTCTATACCTCTATTAGAGAGGTGGTACACAATATGGTCTCCCTAGCATTACTCGTAACCATAATACATGCTTCAGTTCTTTCTTATGTATTGTGTCACACCAAAGGAACTGATTTCAAATGTGTGAGCCTGAAACCTTATTCTTATTTCTTCTTTATTTTTGCAGGTCTCTGGTTTCATTCCTTGGGCTGCTCGCTTTTGGTGAGTATGGCTTCCCTTATTTGCCTGATTATCTTGCCAGTAATATTCGGTAAGTGACTTATTTGTTACTTATAAATTCTTATTGACTTCAGCATTGACTTTTCCCTAATTAAGTGATACATTTTGCTTCAAGTAGCCTGTCCCAATGACCAACACTGAATTTATTGCATTATTGCAGTACAGGGGAAACCATCCAAGGCAGTTGTTGATTCGTTGGCTTTATTTGGGGTCAGATTCTTCAGCCCTGTTTATTTAATAGAATTAGTCAAATTTGATATGGTTTACATCTTGAGTACCTATTTAATATGTTTACTCTAAGTTACTTACTGCTTCTCCTGCTTATCTCTTCTTTTCTCTACCGGTGTTTCTGTCCAAACTTTAAATTATGAGTCACATTCAGATTTGCACAACTTTCTATTTCAAATTTTCAATATTTTCCTGTTGACCTTTATAATAATACTTTTGAAGGTTCAAGTGATATTTCTTTCTTCATATCTGCATAATGTTTAATTGGGTGTTGTTATCTGTGTTAAGATTGTCAGCAATTCAAAATCAGAAATTTAGGCTTTGCGAAGTATTTCTCTATAATTTTATAGAACTTTGACCATTGCGTTAGCTCTTGCATTGAAGTAACTGAGTACATATATTGGTGGTTTTTGGAAGTTCGTTCACTGTTTTACCTAGGTCTGAACATAGCATAGAATCTTGAAGTCAATGCCTGGCCTGATTGCTGTCTAAGTTGCCTAAAATGTAGATTGCTAAAGTATGTGAAATGGGAATGGGAATTTGATCATGGAATTTGAATTTCATTTGCAGGCTGGAGCTATGTTAGGAGATGCTTTCCTTCATCAATTACCACATGCTTTTGGTTTGTCATTAATCCAATATGACATTAATCTTTATATTTTGGTTCTGTTACCCAGAATCTAATATTTGTTGCAGGTGGAGGACACTCCAGCTCACATGACGACCATGTAGGCCATTCCCATCATGATCATATTGGACATGAGCATTCAAATTCACATTCACATTCTATGAAAGATCTTTCTGTAGGATTATCCATCCTGGGTTAGTACTGTCTTATCCATGCATCTCTGTGTGTCTGCATGAATACATGTCTGTCGGCGCGCAGATGTGCTAACCTATGCGTCCGTGGCTGTATTTATGATTCTTTGTGCGCAATGTGCCTGCTATATAGTAGTGCTTTCTGACATGATATTTGAAACTGGTCTGCATTCCCATACTAACATAGAAGGTGAAAGAAAAAAAAGAATAAAGGAGATAGCTGGTGATTTCAACACTGGGTTTTATATGATTCTTAATTGGTTCGACTTATTAATTCAGTTTTAAAAATTGAGTTGGCATGTATTCTATAAATTTCTATTTCTGGTTTGTTTGATACTTTTGTTTTTGTAGAATTTCCATCAAAATCTCTACCCCTGCTAGAAAATAAAGGAAATTTTTTGTCTTGTTTGCTGCCATTTCTTTTAACCAGTGAAAAAAAAATGAAGACATGGAAAAATGTTTTCTTTGGACACTATTCAATGCCTTGTTACCATATTTGTTGTTGCAGCGGGAATTGTATTATTTCTTCTGGTAGAAAAGTTGGTGAGGTATGTTGAGGAAAACTCTGGAGGAAGTAGTGCATGGAGTCATGGTCATCATCACCATCATCATAAGACCAACAAGAAATTGAAGGATGATAATGATTCTCATGATGACTTGCATTCAGAATCTTCCAGTGGAAAAGATAGAAGGAAGCTGAAGATGTCATCTGAAGAAGAAGCGGCAGCTGAAGTTTCAAATGATTCTTTGATGGAAAATAATCAACATGACTCTCATATTCGTAAGGTGAGTTAGTTCGCATATTGATTTAGCTTCCAACTTCATAAATTTTGTGTTCCACCTTCGTTTATATGCATCTTGTACAGAAGTATCTGAATAAGTTTTGTGTTGGATAATAAAAATAAAGAAATATCTGAATTCTGTGGCCAATCTAATTTTGTTAATAAAGTTTAATTACTGGACTGCAATTGAAGTATTGGCATATTTCCATCCTGCAGAGAAACATTACGACTGGTGATAAACAAGATGTAGCTGCTGCAGATGACTCCAACCGTGATGCTAAGTCCTCAGATGGAGAACCTACTCGATCACCATCAAATCTTGTGTTTGGTTATCTCAATCTCTTCTCTGATGGTGTTGTATGTTTTTCTTCTTATTTGCAATCAAGCTTGTATTTTAAACAAAACAGGGTTCATGATAAGCCTTATCATCTTATTGAAAGATTTGTTGCCACTACAGCACAATTTTACGGATGGGATGGCTTTAGGAAGTGCTTTTCTGCTTCATGGATCTGTCGGTGGGTGGTCTAGAACTCTATTCTTGCTTGCGCACGAGATTCCTCAAGAGGTTTGAGCTCTCTTTTTTCGTTCATTTAATACAAGGCATCAACATCTCCCTATGTCAAAGAGGCAGTGCTAATACTGTATCGAGACATGGTAATCAATTATGTTATGGAAAATAAACATAAGCACTCTTCATGCAGGAAATGTTATCTTTGTCTAGTAAGAGAGTGTGTTCCTTTAGGAGTTAATTCAGCAATGTTATTTGTTACTGACTTTTAAGTTTCTCTCAAAGTCTGAATTTCGCTATAGGAGTATGGGTGGCAACTTTTTTGGTAGAAGTTTGGTGATCTTTGGATTGGCAGTAATGAGCATAGTATCTTGCGCTAAGCATTTAATCCCCATGATGCAAAGTGTCCTCTCCTCCCTAGTCCCCCCAATATGTTGCCGAAAAAGTGTATTAGTAGGATTAGGGCTCATATTATGGTGGACTGGCTAATATTATAGCGTGATTTACCTTTGTTTCAGGTTGGCGATTTTGGTATTCTTGTAAGGTCTGGTTTCAGTGTCTCCAAAGCTCTGTTTTTCAACTTTCTCTCAGCACTTGTGGCACTAGTTGGAACCGCAATGGTAGATTATTATCTCTGCAGCAGGGTTATTCCATTTTAATTAGTATCTTCAGTGATTGAAAAAAGAGATTAATCTGTTGCTATTGATGCAGGCTCTGCTTTTGGGCAAGAATCCAGGACAGTCATCTTTGATTGAGGTGACAAGAATCTAGCCCAAGAATGTGTTGTTTGAACATTTGGTTTTCATGATCTCAAGTAAATATATTTTAATTTGTTGAATCTGTTTTCAGGGTTTTACAGCTGGTGGATTTATATACATTGCTGTTGCTGGAGTGCTTGCAGAAATGAACAGCAATGGCAGCTCATCATTGAAAAGCACGGCATTCCAATTAACTGCATTGATACTCGGCATGGGAGTTGCCCTATGTATTTCTCTTTTTGAATGAAAGTTGATTACAAATTGGGACGTGAAAATCAATCCAAATGTACTGCACAGGTATAATAGTCAAATTGCAATTATCTCCTTGTCCACCTAATGCCACGGCTGTTGTACGGTGAATGTGGAAAAGGGACAGGTAGATAAAGGAAAGAAGAATGTGGTTAACCTTGCCTCTGTTCGTTCTGGGTAATGTCAGAGGGTGAATTCATGATCTTTACGGACAGTGATCCATACAAGGTGGTGAACGTGCTCTTTTTTCCTCCCCTGTATTGGAGAATCAACATGCTTTTGTTAACTGCCTATTATGAGATTACAGTTGCTCAATATCTTTTGCTTTTCCTGATTTGGATTAGCTGGTTTTAGAACTGCACAAATATAAAGCTTGATATTAAAATGACTTTATATATGCCGTGAATCGAAGGATGCGTTCTTTAATGACAGAGAGGAAACTGACCACTGTTTATGCTAATTCGTCCTTCAATTAGGGGGGCGGTGCTTTTTCCTGAGGCTCTGTTGTACAGCTTGAAAGGTCTTTTTGTTCTTGATTGGCGGCATAGGAATGCGTGGTTTGAATATAGCTTTTCTTTGTTCTTGATTTAAGTTCCGGTTCTGGACATGTTTCCAATTTTTTGCATTCTCTTATGTGCCTTGTCTTGGAGATAGACTTTTATTCAACGGGTATAGCACTTTTTGTTATCCCAGCCGCGTAATGACAAGTGGAAAAACTTTTTCATGTGCCATTGCATTATTGGCCAGGAATAGCAAAATAGTGCTATCCCCGTTACAAGAAAGTTTTTCTGCTTGTGTTGACATTGCCAAAGGGACTTACTGAGCAGAGGTCCCGGTGAAGCAATTGCTCAGTGTAATTGCCTAAGTAACAAGAAATAGAATCTGAACATACGCCAATGAAAGTAGAAAAGGTCCCTGCTACATTTCAGCTTTCTATATCAGCTACAATATATGTGATCAAGATTCAGGACCATTTTCTCATCACCCAGTAATCAAGACTCGAACTTGTCTAACTGCTGAAGCATTTGAAAGATGGTAATGCTCTGGGTTGGGAGAGAAGGAATGGGTGGCATTCGCCTTAGCGGTGATATCATATGGTCACCGCGGGTGAGAGTGTTGTGATGCCTCTTACGCACTGCTCGAACAGCAGGAGGCGGCTCTGCCACTGCCACCACCATCTGATCCATTCTTGGTTTGCTATAAGTTGCTGCAGCAGCAGATGATACTTCTGTTCTCTTACGCATGGCGCTGCTCTCTGACGACCTTTTCTCCTGCCTTCCTCCATCCTGTAAATGCATTTTACATGAGACAATATCAATCTGCATATGTAACACTACCAAGGGTTACATATATGCCTCATAATTTTTGTACAAAGTCCATGCATGTAGTTCATCAGTATATCATAACAAACTCGAAAGATCGACCTATTATCTCATATTGGAACAACAAAATAACAAATTTCCTTGCAAATTTCCTACAAAATGTTGAAATGCAATGCTGCTTACATATGTTATTTATATATACATGCAATTCAAAAGCTCATTAAGGTGCTTATTTTCTTACATCAAGATCTACACTAACTAAACGAAAAATATATGGAAAAACTAGTATGAGAAAACGTTCATCATAAAATTGTACACATATGTAGTAAGAAATGCATATATATATATATAAGATGAACATTTGATGCTGCATGTGCCACTATACATTTGAAACATTCTCTGGTTTAAGCAAATATGTGTATGTAAGGTGAAATAAATGAATAATGAAACTTGCTTACATTGATAACAGAAGAGTCGGGCATGGGGCATTTGACAGGGCGATCTTCATCAGGTGGCTCCAAAGGATGTTCTACTGGCCAGAACTGGAAGTCGACTTCAAGCTGCACATGATTATGAGGAGCTTCCATACCACACCCCCAGCTGCTGTGTTGCTGCTTCTCCCTCGTTTCATCTAAAAGCGCAACTTCACTTTCCTCTCCTTCCTAATTAAAATGGAACAAGATTAAATAAAATTAAATAACAAGATTAATGGATGTTACCCCACAAACAGGCACACTCACACACCAAATACATTATTCACAGTGTATGGAATGGAAATCTTTCAGAGAGAGAGAGAGAGAGAGAGAGAGATAAAGCGAGGGCACTTACAAAATCATCCCCACATGAAAATCCCATAGAGATGTTGTTCATAGTAGTGTTGTTCTTGCATATGCCAGAAAGAGGCAGAGAAATTTTGTGTGTGTGTGTGTGTGTCTGAGAGAGAGAGAGAGAGAAGGGAAAGATAGAAAAGAGAGCTGAGGGAATGAAAAGTAGGAGTAGGAGTAGGAGTAGTAAGTAGCCTTGTATTGTAGGGGGAGAGAGAGAGAGAGAGACAGAGAGAGGTGGCAGTGTGGGATGGTTTGCACAGTAGAAAGAAAGATTCCCACCATTTTCGTCTTTTTGGATTTCCTCAACGTCCTAACTTTATTTTAACCCTTTTCTTTTCTTTTCTTTATTGGGGGTGGTTTGGGCCCTCCCCTCTCCCCTTCCCCTTAATTGCTGCTCTTTCTCTCTCTCTTTCACTTTGTTGCTTTAAAGCAACAGTACGTTCTTTCGACGGGAAAAAAAAAAAAAAAAAAAACCAACAGTACGTTCTACCTCTGGTTAGTTAAATCCTTTTTTTTAAAATTAAAAAAAACCCTTACAATCTCCTACTTTGTGCTTTTCATGGGTTTGCAGAACATGAGCAGAGGAAACGTGAGAGAGAGAGAGAGAGAGAGAGAGAGAGAGAATGAGCTATGTTGCTTTATTTGCCAAGATCCGTATACTATACTAGCAGAAAGTAAAAACATTCACACAGAGACTCACAGGTAGAAAGCACGAGATGCACACTTTAATTAATTTACTAGTAGCTGGCTACTTAGCCGCTTCATTTGTTCATTCATTTCGATGCAAACTGCAAATTGCAAATTGCTTGTTTTCTAAAAGAAACAAAAAAGCAATTTGCTCCCTCGCTGACTCACAATCTCATCATTTCAAGATTTTGTTGTCTCATCTACTTCTGTTCTGTGACTGTGTCACTGTCACTGTCACTGTCTTATGCCTGCATGTTAGTAATAGTACTACATGTTTCTTGATATCATAATTTCTGAATTTGAAATATGAATTAGCAGTAATGACCAACTTCATGAATTTTTTCTTTAATTAATCCTTTCAACTTCATCAACTTTTTTCTTCAATTTAAGGGAGCTCCAATTAGCCATAATATTTGGGCTTTTACATCCTCTCACTTTACCCAAAACAAATAATAGGATTTGACCTTTTGCCTCAAATTTGGGCCGAAAGTAAGCCCAATGCTTTCTTAAGCTGGATCATATCTTCTTCAGGCTTAAAAAAACAGAGGGCTTGGAGTTGAGTCGAGGGTCAAAGCTCACCTCATTTATTTTCTTTTTAATTTAGGGATTATATATGAATTGTCTATCGATCCTGAACCTCATCCACTGCACTCCGTTTAACTTTAATATTTGATTTCAATCATTATAAATTTAAAATTATCATCATATCTCCCTCACTGGCCATTGCTGTAAATGTCCTTTCCTTTGGCTACAAATAAAATAAAAGCGCGTTAAGAAGCTGCTTCATGGTCATAGACATAGAGAGAGAGATAGAGGCTAACCAACCTTTGAACAAGTCCAATCCAACAACGCATCAGTAAAAAGAATTTCTAGATGTTTCTTATTCTGGTCTCAATAACAGCTGCTACAGCCTTGGTGCTCTTCTGTTCTTGAGATTCCATCACTCATTTCTTTTTAGGAAAATCACTCAAAAAAGATTTTCATTTCTAATTTTCGCACACGTACGTACGTGCACCCAATTATAGCTAAAATAGGGAAAATTAAAAGAAGAAGAAAAAACTAAAAGAATGTAAGAAAGGACACACACAAACAGAGAGCTAAAATAGGGGATTGATTTGCTTGAGAATCTGCCGGGAACCGACCATTTAGAATAGAGTAGGCAAAAACAGAGAGAGAGAGAGAGAGAGGGGGAAATGAAAATGAAACTGTGGAAAAAAGCTGCCGGGCTTATCAAAGACCGGAACAGCATATGGGTGGCCAGCATCTCCAGACGGACCTCGTACCGGAACCCGGATCTCGAGGCCATCATCATCAAGGCCACCAGCCACGACGAAACCCACGTCGATTACAAGAACTTCCACAGAGTCTACCAATGGGTGCGCACATCTCCTCTCTACCTCAAGCCCCTCCTTTGGGCTCTCTCTACCCGCATGGACAAGACTCGCTCTTGGGTTGTCGCTCTCAAAGGCCTCATGCTCATGCACGGCGTTTTCTGTTGCAAAATCCCATCCGTTCAGAAGATTGGCAGGCTGCCTTTTGATTTCTCCAATTTCTCCGACGGCCATTCCAAGTCCGCCAAAACATGGGCTTGTGATGCCCTGGTTCGCTCCTATTTTACGTATTTGGACCAAAGATCCGCCTTTTTTAGTACGTTGGTGATCAAGAAGAACAAGGGCGATCAGGAGGAGCCTGCATTGTTGGAAGAGCTCGGGAGATTGCAAAAGTGGCAATCTTTGCTTGACATCCTTCTTCAGATCAAACCAGAGCTGAACTTGACGATCAGCACTCATAACAACAACAACAGCAGCAACACCACCGCCAACAACAAGGTTTATCTTATTTCCGAAGCCATGATTTGTTTGCTCACAGAGATCTTCGACGTGTATAGCAGGGTTTGCAAAGGGATCGCCCAAACGCTTTTGAAGATATACGCGGCTCCTGGCAAGCAAGAGGCACAGCTGGCGCTTGGGGTTGTTCAGAAGGCAGCAGTTCAAGGAGAAGATCTCTCCTTGTACCTTGAATTTTGCAAGGAAATGGGCATCCTCAGCGCCACGGATTGTCCTAAAGTTGAGCAGATTCCGGAAGAAGATATTAGAGACCTCCAACGGATAATCAATGAAGCTTCAGTGAGAAACGAAAACAGAGACGTGAAAAATGGTGTTGTCGATCATGCACAGGAGGAGGACAAGGCCATTGTGATGATGAGACAAAGAGAAAGCAGCAGGGGTAGAAATAAAATAATGGTTTATGATCAGCAGCAAACGGCATCAAAGAGGGCCTTCCAGACAATCATCACAGACAAATGGGAGGTGTTTGAAGAAGATTTGATCAGCTGGGTCAGCGCAGATACGACTGGTTTCTCTGATGTGAGCAGCAATACCACTATTACAACAAGTACACCGAGTAGTGCTGTGGGTACACAATACAGAAACCCTTTTGCTTCAGCCTCTTCAAATATGATGATACCTTATAATGCACCTGCACATAACCAAGTTCTTCCAGATTTGATTAGTTTCTGACGATTTGCTGTTGTTGGATTAATATTGAAAAGTTTCATTCCCTTGTTCCCCAGCAGCAGCTTCGTCAATACCTGCAGCTCAATCTCTCCCAATTTTTGTGGATCTTATATCCTCCCCCTTGGGCCTCTTACTTATTAATTAATTATCAATAGATGAATTCTTAACTTGATTTCTTCCTGACCCTTTTTTCTTCATTCTCCATTCTTCCTTTTCTGTTTTATCTCAAGTCTTAAGTTAATCATCATATTGATATATTATCTGCAGACTGCAGGTAAGGTAACATACATACACAAAGTCATGTAGATCAAATATAATAGTATTTTCATAACACAACAGGAATCACTCTGCCAGAGAATTGTTTAATCGGACAGACATTACAAATTTGTAACAATTAGACCCAATGAACTAGTGTTTTTTTTTTCTTGTCTTGGGCCCTCGACAGCTTTTCTCTCTCATCGTGGAAGTCTTATGTCCTCTGTAACTCAAAATTTGCTAAAAGTTGCCTTCAAAAGTAACAAATGGCCACCATGTAGTTTTTGCATTATTTTCATATTTCCCCACTATACTAAACCGTATTCACTCCATCTCATCTCTTGCCAATATTCTGAATACATTTCCGAGACAATTATCCACTCCCCTTGGAATTTGGAATGTACACTTTCTATTTTAGTAACACGAAAGTATGTAGATAACTTTGAGCTGTCTCTTGTCTTGCCTAAGCTTTTGGCTCAAGTTATGGCCGTTAAACTTTTCCCGTCTAAACAACAGATCTTCCTACATTCGCCGGTTTATCAAGAGTACGCCGGTTTACCTTCACCAACTGTCAAGTTGTTAATCACCACCACCATTTTTCACAGACTTTGCATCCATCATCTGGATCACAACACTGACCCCAGATTCAGCTTAAAGTACAATGGGTAGATTTTGGTTCTGGACATTAAAAAGAGAGAGAATCGCTGGAGAAAACTTTGCATCTTAAGTTCACAGAATTTCTTTCGTTTCCATTTCATTTGTTTTGAAACATTCTTAAATGTAGAAGTAGGTTACATCGTTTGCTTATATCAGTATTAAAGGGAAACTAACAAAACTATCAAATTACAACATGCTCTCTTTGTTGCGCGTTATACAATTGAGACCATCTAACCATCAGCAAACAATGTGTAATAAGTTACATATTCTGAAGGTTTTTCTTTTCAACAAATCCATAACAAATGCACTACTAACCTAACTACTAAAACCCTGCTATGAAGGGGCTGCTCTTGTGTAATTTTCACTTGTGTCCCTTTAAACATGTTAACTAATTATCCTATCAACTATGTCCTTGATCACATTAACAAGTTCACTTTAAAGACATGTTCCACACAAAAAACCTACTACTGATAAACCTCTAACTGAAACTATCAGTTTCCTTCCAGAGACACCAGTCAATCAATGTTTGAAACAAAAGTAAAAAGATTTGCAAGACACACAGCAAAGTCCACATAATATTAGAGTCTTAAACCCCTTTCCTCAACCTTGTCACTTCTCTAATGCCCTATTTCTCTTGCATACACCTATATCACAGCCCTCCACTAATTTCCCTCTCCATTAGTATCACCTTCTATATCATCATGTTCCTCTCCAAGCCCCTATAGACAAGAGTTTCCAGGTTCTTCTATGCCCGACACTGTATCAGTACAACACTAAGAGACATGACACGAATAGGTAGAGCATCCTACATGAAATCGAATTTAGTAGTTCTAAGCCAGAGATGCAATCCACATACAACATAATACTACAACAGAACTAGTCAAATACTTGGGAATATAGGCAATCATCTCAGACTCCCCTTTGATCAGTTCAAGTATTTTGCTAAAAGTTGTGGGGGAATAAGGTAACATTGCATTCCAGTAAAAAGATAAATGGGTAAAGGAGTTTCAGTGCAAAATATTAAGAGCATTAGATTAAACGGAGATTGTATACTATCCAGAAACAATTCAATAAATGAGAACTCATCCGCACAATCCTGGTGGCCAGAAAATTCAGCCCTTATCACATAAGCCGAAAGGAAAAATAAACAAAAGAACAATTCCAAATTTTAGAAACAAGTATCATCCGTCATGACTGAAAATTGAATGACTACAAAGTATCTGATAGATCTCTGCAAAAGGTCACAGAAATATA